CTAATGAAGCGGGTGGAAGACTCTCATTTTGACCGTGAGAAGGGCAGGTGGGATGGAAGAGGACCGCTGGGAACCTCGGATTTCCTGATTCATTCTCTGATCCATTCTCCCGGGGCTTGAGAGGAGGTGGGGTCGGGCATCTCCAGAATACGCTCCACGGAGCTCCCAGGTGACAGCGGCCACCATGAGGGCAGCGATCCCTCCAGGCCTGAGTGAAGTCACTTGGAATGGGATGGGCGTAAGGGGCGCTTTCTTTTTCAAGCCCCAGCGCTGGAACCACGTGAAGATGCTTTCCTCTCTGGAGGCAGATGTGGATTTAGGATTTAGTCCTCTCTGGAGATGGGTATGACTGCGTCCTCTCTCTCCTTCCCAAGAGGAGCTGGGGCTGAAGTTGATGGGAACCCAGCGATGGAGGGGTTGGGTGGAGGGCAGGCCTCTGGCTTTTTCTTTGTCTGTAAGGAGGACTTGGGATCCCCACTGCTTGTGCACCATCATGCTCTGTGAGTGGGAACATCTCCCCACAGCCCTTCACTCCTGGTTTTCAGGGAAGCGGTGAGCAGCCTTCCGAAGCCACCCTCAGCATTGTCTCCTGCCGTCCACCATGTGGCCTGTCCTCCCCAAGCCACTTTGCCTGTCAGCCCGTCTGTCCTCTCCTGCAGGCCTCTCCACAGCTGTTGCTGGTGGCTGGGGGTTTGCCCTCTCTCTACCTTGAGGTGGCATGTTAAATATTCAGAGATCTCTCTGGGCAGAGTGGGCATGAATAGCACAGGGAAGCAGCTGGCACGCCTTGCTCCACCTCTCCCAGCTCATGCCTGACCAAAGGCCATATTGCCAGTAAGATGACATCATTTTCTCCCCTGAAGTAGCACCGTGATCTCCATATTTACTAGGGACCCTTAGGGTGGGGCCAAGAATTGGCCTGGTTGAGGGTTCTCCCTCTAGGTGCTGCTGGGCTGGGGCTGGAGCTCCAGAGACTGAGGGCTCTTGGTACAGCATCCTCGGGCCATGGCTATTCTCCTTAGACCCTCTCCAAAGCAAGCAAGAGGGCCCAGAGGGGAGTCATCCATTGGGGAAGGGTCCTCAAGGACTTGCTGCTCTATCTTAGAATATACATTCTTCCCAGATCTGAGGTTTCAGAAGTCTTATATGACCATCAGAATTACCTGCTTGGTTAGCCTAGGAATCTGTGCCCCAACAGAGAGTTTATAGGATTTGGGGTTGTTGTTTGTACTATCAACTCCAAAAGGTCAGGGGTACCTCCTGTCTCCCAAGTCCTTAATTTCCTATAGAACTCAGCCTGGGTGTGGCAGCTCTTGCAGAGTCATCTAGCATCCAGTCACCACCTGCTCCCTCCTCCTGGCCTCCCAGAATGCTTTAGGAGAGGGTGTTTAAGCTCTGCAGGGGCCTTTGTTCCTTCTCATGGTCCTCTCACTTGGCATCTTGAGGGTCATCCCGGCTGAGAGGTGGGCTCTGGCTTGTGAGCCTGAATTCAACGTTAACAGCTCTCCCTTTTGTTTGCTTTATATATTGGGATCCTAGATAAAATGTAATTTGGAAAATATGGGGGATTTACTGGTTTTTAAAAACATTGATCTTGAGAAATCATATGAAATAAGAATATGATAGCCAGTGTGTGTGTGTGTGTGTGTGTGTGTGTGTGTAATTCCAACAACTTAAGAACAAAAAATATAAATAATTCAATCATAAAATGAGCAAAAGACTTCAGTAGATGCTTCACCAAAGAGAACATTCAAATGGCCATCAAATATGTGGAAAAGTGCCCAGAGTTGTTAGCTGTTACAGGACTATAAATCAAAACCATCTCACTTCTGCTAGAATGGCTAAGTTAGAAAAATAATAATAAAAATTTCAAGAATACAGGGAAATTGAAACCTTACCTACGGCTGATGGGAATACAGAATGGTGCAGCCATGTGAGAATAATGTAACAGTTCCTCGAAAATCCAGAAATAGGGCTGTGTCCCAAAACGGGGTGCTCTGGTGGCATGGGCCATAGGGACTCACTGCTAACCTGAAGCTGTGCCTCTCTGGTGGTGAAACCATCGGCGGCTCTCAGGGAGAAAGATGATGAGCTGTCTCCTACTCTGATTTACAGCCTCAGCAGCCCAGTGGAGGCTCAGCTAGGAGTTCGTTCTCACTTGGTGACAATAAGTAGGAGAGAAAGCACCTAGAGGAAGAACCCTCAACCAGGCCAAAACAAACAAACCAGCAACAAAGGAACAAACCCAAACACAGTGCCTTGAGTCGATTCTGATATATAACAACCCTGTAGAGCAGAGATTGAGGATAGCCTTGTGGAGTTTCCAAAGCCACAAATCTTCATGAGCTCAGCAGCTAGCTTGTGGGTTTGAACCACTGGTGATCAGTGATGGAACTATTGCATTTATGAAGGTAGGGCTGCACAGCTGGTTATGGTCATTGCTCTCGATAGGTAGTAAGTTTCAAAAATTGTGTGCTGAACAATAGTCAATGACCTCAAAGCCAAGGCTTTTTGGTTCCTTGGTTTGGAAGTTCGGGCCTGTGGTCTTGTGGGACGTACCTGTTCACTGGCCTAATAACTTGTGATTCTCTTGAACAACTGCTAGCTGGTTGTGCAGAGTGCCTGGGGTCTTAAAAAAAATTGTAAGCAGATAAACAAAGCACTGTGATTGGCCTGAAGCAACAGAGTAAAGAGCATCAGGAATAGAAGGACGCTGTGGAAGGTGGTAGGGACTATTGGGAGCTCTAGGAGCCTAGTGGTAAAAAGTTACACTGAAATCCTGAAGGCATGTGGTTCGAGTCCACCATTTGCTGTATGAGAGAAAGAGTTGGGGGTTTTTTGGTTTTGTTGTTGTTTTTCTGTTTGTTTGTTTGTTTGTTTGTTTGTTTTAACTTTTCAAAGAGAAAAACCTGCGGAGGGTCAGTTAGGAATTGGTTCTGACTCGACAGCACATAACAACAAAATAGTGAAAAACCCCCAACAAAACCATAACCACCACCCAGGCGGATATATGCACACCCACGTTTATTGCAGCTTTGTTCACAATAACAAAGTGCTAAGTGAATGGATAGAGAAACTGTGGTATATTCACACAGTGGAATACTATGCTGCATTGAAAAACAAAGAACTCATGAAATAGTATACAAAATGGGTGACCGTGGAGGACATTATGCTGAGTGAAATATCTTAGTCACAAAAGGACAAATACTGCATAGTGCCACTGGTGTAAAATGAGACTGACATCAGGCTTGGGGGGACTGAGAATGATGGGATAAATTATGTGTACTGCACTGAAACAGATAAGGGAGAGAGCTGTTTAAAAAGGATATATGATTAGGTATTATTGTCATGACAGAAGTCCAGAATGAAGGCTGCATAGTGGAGTGGACTTGTTGGGAGGGATTGTGTAACAATGAAATAATTTTTCTTTTACTTTTCAAAGAGAAAAGCGAAATGGAAGGGGGGAAGGGTGGGCAGGGAGAAAAGTGTGACAATGAATGAATGGAAATCCATAGTCTCTCTAAACTTTCATTAAAATTAATAATAATTTTTTAAAACTACCAAAAAATTATTTTAAAAAAACCCCAAACCTGCAAAATAAAAGAGCTCAGTGACTCTGAGAATACGAGGGCAACTGGTTGGTGGTGGTGTCTGGAGATGGAGGTTAGTCAGGGGCATGCAGGCTTTTGTCCACAGGGCAAAGCTCTTGCAGTGAGGACCAGACTGAGATGCTCCTTTCTTACTGGACATCTTCCTCTGGTGCCCCACGGCCTAGCCTAGGAAGGAATGGGACTAGAGTTGCAGTGCATTGCAGGAATCTGGTTGATGTTTGCTGTGTGCATAGGGCTGGCTCCCTGGGGACATGCCTATTTGTTCCTGGCTTTTTTTTTAACATACAACTCCAAATCCAGGAATGAATGACTGTTACATTAGGGAAAAAGTGTTCCCGTATGCTTTGATGAGGGAGCTCAGGTGGCCTGTTTGGTAAGGAGCTGCTCTGCAGCCCCAAAGACATGCAGTTGGAATCCACCAGCTGCTCTGTGGGAGAAAGATGGGCATGCTTCTCCTGTGAGATTTACAGTCTGACTCAGGGGTCATCTGTGAGTTGGTTCTGACTTGAGGACATGCTTTGTTGTGGGAGGGGTGACTCTGACTTCTCTCAGAGAACACACCATCTTGAAACATTTATTCCAAGGAGCCGACATTGCCTCATTGTCCCAGCGTATGAATCTAGTCAAGATCCACAATTCTGGCTAATAGGGACGCTGGTGGCATAGGCAGTAGGCATGCTAACTCAGAATGCTGGCTGACAATTTCCAGACTTGCCAGCCACTTTTGGGAGTCACTCACTCACTCACTCATGCTTGTCAAATTGGAAACAACTAAAAACTGACCATCTAGCAGATTTCCAAAGACTATAAACCACACAGGAAGAGACTTCCCATCTTCCTCCTGCTGGGTAACTGGTGAATTTGGAACCACTAGAGAGACATATAGCCTTTGGGGTAACAGCATATCTAGTACACCAAAATCCAGTTTCAATACACGGAAAAAAGAGTTATAATCAACAAAATACTGTGAATAATTTATGGTTATATAGGAAAAAATTTATTTCTACATCACACATGGTTTCTTAAATGTTGGTTTTGAGGAAATACAGACTACAGAGAGCCTTAGTTTGAGGGTTGAAAATCTGACTAAGCCCCAGCACTATAATTTGCAGCATAGAGTTGGCTGTCTTGGGTCAGGGATATAAAAGTAGTGATTAGAAAGGATGTAGATTATCCTCAAGATGTTCCCTAAGTGTTGCGAGACAAGATGGGGAGGAAAACAAAGTTTTCAAGAAAAGCTTGTCTTTCTTTGGAACTTGCTTTTTTAAAAGCAGAATAGAGGAAAACCGGACTGGTTGGTAGAGGGTCCCAGATGGTTGAGGATTTTTTTCCTGGTCCGTGTGTGCACACATTATTGCTGTAGGGCCAAGGCATTCTCAGTAGAGCTCCTCAAGGCTGAGACCTTTCAGATGCAGACTGCCAGGCCTTTTTCCCAAGGTACTGCTGGAGAGGCCTGAGCAGGACCCGCACAGACACAAGTAACTGCTCCTGAGAGCAAAGAAGCTCAGCAGGAAGTGAGTGAGGCTGGGTCCTAGTGCCCACCTGGTCTGCCCCACCTATGCCCTGGGGCCCCTAGTCTTGGTTTGCCCACCTCCGTGAGTCCACTGTGGCAGTCATCCTCCCTCTTGGGGTCCTGCTGCCTTCTAGAGGCAGTGTTCCCTATGCCTCTTTCATCCCCCTTCCTCCTGCTGCTGCCTGAACACACCATGTTTATTTATAAACAGGAGGAGTATCCTCAAGGAAGTGAAAAACACGGCTTGGATTTCGCCAGTTCAGCTGCCGTTCTGTTTATTAACCCCACTTGTCTGCTGGAGCAGCCTCCCCGCTGTGCGTTATTGGAGGTTATGTGACAAGTGAGGGGCTCACCTGGTTATTACTGAACTGTCCCCTCCTTCCAGAGCCTGGAGGGATAGAAGCCTTGGCGTGTGCCGTAGCTGCAGCACCAGAGCCTTGGGGCTGTCATTGCCCAGGATGAGCCCCATGCTGCCTGACTCATTATGAGGAAACTTGCTTGCTGTCTGCAGGTATTTTTCCAAGAGCTAGTGAGAGCTCTTGTACCACAGGATGCTTTTCTCTCTCTTTGAGGCCTTGAGAGGTGATTGCCTTCTCTCTTGGGTTGGAAGAAGGGCTGTTGTCTATGTACCGTCGTAGGCTCTGAATGCTCAGATCTTGTGTCTTCGCACACAGGCATGTATCTTTGGGGTTTGTTGGCTGCACCTGAGGGCTTTCCTGAGACTATAGAGAAAGTGAGCATGTACACAAATGACCAAATATCTGAGACCCAGTAAGAGTGTTGGAAAGAATCTTGATGTAATTTGGTGTAAAAAAAAGAGCAAAGGCAGTGTGAAGACAGCTAAGTCTGACCTCTGCTAATTCCACACAGTGTACTGTAGGCACCAACAACGCAATACAAATTACCATGAGGTCATACATGTTGCCCACACTTCTACGCTTCCTTCTACTAATTCTAACACTAATCCTACTGCTATGCTGGGTCTGAAATCTGTTGCAGTAGTTGCACAAACCTCAGAATCATATGCATGCTTGTGGGATTTGTTAGGAAAGTTACCAGGTTATAACTCAGATTGGCAACAGGGCACAATTTCTCAATCAGAACAGCTTCTGAAATATGCTTGCAGACCCTTCAGCCTTGACCCTTGAAGCTTTAGGCCTGTGGTAAAAAGCTCGCTTAGTCCTGGTAATTGTGGCGTCTTGCCCCAGTCCTCCAGCAAGCTTGGGCAAAGGCCCTTGGTTGTGCCTTCAGGAGGCGGCACTCAGTCACATATCAGATCTCTCTCGTCCTCCGTTGAGGCTGCTGCTGCTCTTCTGTGGGCCCCAGGAGGCCCTGGCTCAGGAATCTGTGACCGCAAAAGACACAGTCTACTTTCTTTTTGGTAGTGAGATTCCAAATTTCTGCCACTGAACCTGCTCAGTTTAAAATTCATGGAATGGTGAAGTTAGCCAATTCCCTTGTAGATAGACTGACACTTCCTATTTGCAAAGTTTTTCCCAGCTATGTGACAAAGTCGAGAGCAATGGCCTAGGAAAGCCATGTTGGACATTAGACCAAAGACACCACCTTTGGTCTGTGCCTTCAAGCATGGCCCCCATGCCTAGACCTGATATGGTGAGTGAGCTTCCTCTCGGGCCTCTTCTGACTAACACAGGGCTGCCTGGGCAGTCAGCACACTGTGTGGAGGATGACCCTGAAGCTGGGTCAGGCTCCGTGCAGAGGAGTCACTGTGAATGATCCATGTGTTAATGGAGGTACATGGTAGGTTCACATTTCACAGATCTGTCTGTACAACTCTTAAGAGTTTCTGATTTCTCTCCATTAGTGATCAGAGAACATCAGTTACCTGAGTGACTGACTATCCACAAGAGATCTGGTATTGACACTCCCTTATGACACATCCCACCTCACGAGGCTTCTGACCAGCCACGAGTAGTTGTGGGCCATGCATGCCTCTAGGATGCCACCATTGGGAGCTGTCCAGTCTAGTGACTCGCTAGTCCCTCTTCTCTTTCTTCTTAAGGCGATGATGAATGTGCATGTTCTCCTTGTGTCCTTTGCGTGTCACAGCTCAGTTAAAGCCTACCACACACATTCTGCTATAGACTTAGGTGCACTCGTCTTTCCTGCCGCCTCATTTTAGAGATCTGTGAGGAACACTCATCCATTTCTGGTAGTGTGGGCCAGCTTCCTTCCCTCTGAGCAGTGATTGGAGTGCAGATGTGACCTGGTGAGCACAAAGGTGGGTGGTAGGCACAGGCTGGGCCCTCAAGGCATCTTGATTCACAGCTGGTAGAGAGAGAGAGGATCCTCCAGAGGAAGGATTCATGGGGGAGACAGCTGGTGGCTCAACTCCTGGCATGTGGGGAGATCATGTAGACAGACAAGAGGGTTCTGAAAAGCCCAGATAAAGATGTGCTGGGGCAGAGAGAGAGAGAGAGAAGCCGGCACAGGAATCTTGAAGTTATTCGGGCCCCAGCTCCTATACCAAGTCTGATGCCATCAGCTGTCCCATATCATGAAGTGAAAACTTTTGAATGGTTTTTACAGTAATTAAGTATTATATTGTGGTAATTAATGTTATAAAACAAATTATCTACAAATGATTGAATGAAAATGCAGTATGATTTGTGAACTCACACTCAAAATTTTTAAAAATTATTTCTTATTGATGGGGCTGTACATACTACAGTAATAATTTCAGGTCCCAGCAACTTGAAACAAGACGGCTCTGTTATCTTACTGCTTGTTCAGCAGGGGGTTCTCATGGCTTAGTCCGTAGGGAGCTGTAGAGCTAACCCCAAGGCAGGGCCTCTCTAATGGATGGGCAGTACTCCAGTGGAGAAAGATATGTCGCCTTCCATGCAGTTTACAGCCTTTGAAAGCCCTCTAGAAGGTCACGTATGCTTTGGTTCCAACTTGACAGCATGAATGAATGAGTGGCTTGTTCAGTAGGATTGACAAAGACATTTAACTCACTAATCGCTCATTCCCAGGCTGGCCTCCCAGGCTGTCTCCTTTATCTTAGGGTATTATCGTTGTAACAGGAAGCATTAGTGCTCAGTGATAGGGATGATAGGGAGGATCATGCACTGGCTCTAAGGTGTCTCCACCCAGAAGTGACATGTACCTCTGGTGCTCACAGTTCATCAGTCAAAGCCAATCAGCTGCATGGCCACGCCTGAATTCAAGTGGGTGAGCAATTAGTCCTGTTAAACAGCCACCATTCCTCATGTCACTCAACTCTGTGTATGTTGAAGGAATGAGTCCTAACCAGTTTTGCAAACCTATAACTGTGCTTTTCCCCTTAAAGTTATTATGATAAGTTTTTAGTGTGGTTTTTCTTTAGAATCAGGAGAGGCCTAAGACAGCACTTCATGTCGTCACTTAGAAATAAGCATTCTTGAACTGGGGGAGGGGGAGCGTAAAGAAGAAAGTGCAACAATGATTGAATGAAAATCCAAAATCTCTGTAAATGTTCATTAAAATTAATAAAATAAAATTTGGGCGGGGGAAGAAATAAGCATCCTTCTTGTTCCCTAAGCAATAAAAGGTGTGAATTGCATCTCAACATAAAGGAAACAAAAATTTTCACCACAGGACCAATAAGCAACATCCTAATCGAAGGAGAATAGATTGACACTGTCGATGACTTCATCTTGCTTGGCTTCACAGTCAGTACATTTAGTACCAGTAGTCAGAATATCAGAAAATGTATGGCACTGAGAAAGTTTATTATCTTCTTCAAATTATTGAGGAGTAATGATTTCAGTTTAAGGACTAAGGTGCACCTAATTCCAACCATGATCTTTTCCGTTTTTTGTGATGCATCCGAGAGCTGGAAAATAACTAAGGATGCCAGAATAATTGATGCTTTTGAACTGTGATGCTGGAGAAGACCAGTGAATATCCCACAGACTGCCAAAAGAACAGATATATCTTGGAGAAAGTGCAGCCAGAGTGCTCCTTGGAGGCAAAAATTTATGAAACATCATCTCACATACTTCGAGCATGTTGATAGAAGAGGCTATTCCTTGGAGGACATCATGCTTGGGAAGGTAGGGGAATGTTAAAGGAGAGGAATACCTTCAACCAGGTGGATTATACAGTGACTACAGAAGTGGGCTCAAGTATGTCAGACAAACAGGATAGGACAGGGTTCAGATCTGTTTAAGTTGTACTTGACTTCACAGTACCTAACAACAAAAACTTATCCCCTATTATTTATCTTCTTTTTAAGTGAAAAACAAAGGTCTTAATTTTGCAGTGGTGCTGGCAATTATAAAGACCCAGTGCCGTCCTGTGGCTAAATCCCTTGAAGGTGCCTACTCCATGGTTTCCATTACATTTTTTATTTTTGTCTTCATCTATTTTCCACTAAGCTTCCTTGAGTCTCCTACCTGGAAAGAAAGGGTCTATCCTTTTTTTTTTTTTTTGGCATTAACAGTAAGATTTATTGAGCTGTATCTTAGTACAGATGCTGGGGCTTACCCATGGTGCTCTTGATGTACAAAGCCCGAACATTCTGCCAATTCTTCTTTAGCAGTGAAATCAGAAAGTTGACAGCCAGGTGGATGTTGTAAACAAGTTCATCTTCACATGGCCAACAGCCACTGCCAGACACAGGACCTTTTTCATCTGGAATTTGATGGTGGACTTCACCTCGTCTAATTTTGCCACCATGTTCTCATTGTGGGTCAGCAGAAAAGGGAACTTACCAGCCTTATTCAGCCCTGGACCTAGGATTCTTGGGATCTGCTTGATCAGGGATTCAGAGGCCAAAAAGGCATCATACTTCTTGGCCAGCTTTTTGACCAGTTTCTTATTCTTGTTGAGTTTTTTGAGCACTTCGATGTCCATGTGGGGGATATCCACAGCCTTGGCTTGATCACAGTGCTGCTGATCCCCAAGAACACACACAGAGAACTTGGGGCGTGGGGTGGACTTAAGCCTGACTGTCCCTGAGAAACGCTTGTCCTTCTGAGGGTCATAGCTCTTCAAAGTGATCTGCAGCTCCACAGTCTCCAAAAACTTTCTGCGTTTGCACTGGTTCCCATGCAGGACTTCCCGCACCGCCTCGTAGAGGGTGTCACGAGAGACTTTGCTGCTCATGGTTCCTAGCGCCGCAGTAACCGGAAAAGAGGGGTCTATCCTCTTGACCCCTTTTAGATGTGGTGTATTTCTGTACAGAGGTACCCCCACAGCTCTTCAGATGTAATACTTGCCCAATGAGTGCATGTTGGCTTATGACTAAGTCAGGACCTTTATAGTCAAAACTGTAGTTTATGCACCAGCAGCATTGTCTGGGATCAGTGAGAGCTGGTTAGCAACGCAGAATCCCGGGCCCAACAGGACTTAGTGAATTTGCAATTGCACTTCTTAGAGAAGTACTTGAAACCCTGGTGGTAGAGCAGTCCAGCAAGTAGTCAACTGAAATGTGAGTGGTTTGAACCCACCAGCCACTCTACAGGAGAAAGATGTGACAATCTGCTTCCATAAAAATTTGTTGTTGTTAGGTGCTGTCAAGTACGACTAGGAGTGACTCTGTGGACAACAGATCTGAACGCTGTCCTACCCTGTGCCTTCCTCATCATCTCTGACATGCTTGAGCCTGTAAAGCACACTGTGGGTCAGTTCTGCTCCACCTTCCAGGATTACGCGGCAGAATTGAGAGCAGTAGATCTGGTTTGGGTTTGGCAGAGAAGTGCTGAGGCGAGTGATTGGGTGCTATAATCTCATCGCTGAACTGGAAAGAAATTGACTTGCCTGAAGCTGTCATTATATAGGCTGGTAAATTGGGGTTCAATCTCAAATCAGCCATGCATGTTGGACCAGCTCATCCTTTCTGCTTTTTATGAGTTCTGAATGGGATGACTCAGTGGCCTGAACCATGGACCTCTTATAGCTGGGTTGCCTAATTTTGGTCGCTGTGTAAAATTTAGTCTTGCAATTGGAGGTCAGACTGCCAGAGCAACAGCTGTCAGAATATTGAGCTAAACTGGTCATGCTATGCCCCTGCCCCACCACAACGCCCACTTCCTGCTTCACCAAAACCATGGCTCACCTGGACCAATTAAAAACCCTCCTGACTAGTTTCCTTGCTTCTACTCTGCCTCCTGTAGAAATTTGCTTAAAGTATAAGTGAGGTCATATCTTTCCCCTGCAGTTGAAAATTGACCAAAATGCTCCTATTACCCTTGTTGTTTCGTAGTGTCGAATTAGAACCGGCCTGTAGTTTACCCTCCGCAGATCTTCAGAGGCACAGAAGGGGATTGCCCATCTTTCTCCCAGAGAGCAGCTGATGGATTCATACCTCCACATTGGCAGCAGAATTCCTTACCTCGAAGCCATCAGAGCTCCTTCCCAGCACACTAAGAACAAAATTCAAACTCTTTAACATTCCTGGCAAGACTGAGCAGGCCTGACCTCATCTTGCACTCATTCCCCTTACTCACTTAGCTCCCACCTCCTCACTGTTTCTGGAAGTTTCCACCTAAGGGCCCTTGCACTAACTGTTTCTTCTGCCTGGAACCTACTACCCTTGAGTCTTCCATGGTTCTCTATTCTTCTTCCTTTCTTTTATTATGCTAACATGTATCCTCTTCAGCAGAGGCCTTTCTGACCACCTTTGCCAAAACACAGCCCTCCTCCCACTCTGCTCTGCTCACGTCCTCAAAGTATGCTTTTTATTCATTTGTTTACTTGTTTATGGTTCTCTTTCCACCAGGAATTGAACACCCTGACTTTGGAGACTTGACTTTGTTCACAGCTGTCTCTCCAGCACCTAGAGAAGTTCTAAGTGCTTGTAGATGTTAAAATAGTATTTGTTGACTAAATAATATTGCGGGAGAAGGATGACAATCTCCTCCATCTGAAAACCAGCTAGAGGGTCAGATAGGGGTCATTTTTTACTTGAGGTACCCAACAACACCAGTTAACAACAATGTCTTAGTATTCCTGTTGGAGTCAGATAATTTTTAACTGCCAAGTTAGTTGTTGTTGTTGTTGTTGTTATGTGCCATCGAGTCACTTGCGACTCATAGCGACCCTATGTATAAGAGTTCTATACGTTCTTCTATCCTGTGCCAACCTAGCCATCTCAAATGCACTTATTCCCACCTCTCCAGTCACAGAATCGATTCGCCGAGTTAGTAAAAACCTAATTTTGTAACTGTAGAAAATAATATTCTTTCTGAGCCTTGAATTTCTCATCTGTAGAATGTGGATTAGACTTCAATTTCTGGAGAACCTCATGTGAGCACATGGAGACGAAGAACCTTGTAAATGTACAGCTGACCTTTTAAAGAAATCGGGGAAGTTTCTGGGAGACCAGACACAAAGGGACTCGTGTTGCAAGGGTTTAAGCTAGGGCTGTAACAGCTTCATAGCTCTCTACTCTGACAGCTTCCTGGGCCAGGACTCTGGATGGGACATGACCAAGTAGCCTTATCTCTCTTCCCTGATTGTTTGTGTCTCACCTGTGATAGACTTTTTTTCTTGTGGTTTCATGGTCTCTCCTTGTGGTCTTTCTCTGTGGTTTCTCCAGAATAAGGCCTCTGGATCATCTTGTTTCTAATGATGATTAACATTTGTTTGAATGGGAATAAATGTGGATCTCTTTTTAGTCAGTTGGCCAGGTAGTTGTCCTCCAAGTTTCTTAGCATAACATGGTGAGAGCGTCCAAGCCTGGATTTGTTTGTTGAAATATGTTAGTTGGTAAGCCTTCGATTCCTGGGGCCTTGTATTTTTGCCAGTTCTTCCAGAGTAGCTTGAACTTATTCCCTCATCATCATTGCCTCTTGGTCAAATGTTGCATGAAATTCTTCTATGTCAGCCAGTTCTTTTTGGTATAGTGACTCTGTGTACTCCTTCCATCTTCTTTTGAGGCTTCCTGGGTCATTCAACATTCTGCCCACAGCATCCTTAAGTATTGAAATTCCAGAATTGAATTTGTTCTTCAGTTTCTTCACCTGAGGACATGCCGAGCGAGTTCATCCCTTTTGATTTTCTAACTCTAGCTCTTTGCATATTTCATCATAATACTTTGTCTCTCCAAGCTAGCCTTGGAAATCTTCTGTTCAGCTTTTGGATACAATACAATTTGGAATAAAAGGATAATCCCCCTACCATCGTGAGATGAAGTGAAGCTGTTGTGTCCTGATTCATGGTAGTTAGAATATCTTCCCTGGTAACTTAAGACTCTTCATTGAATGGCCTTCTGTAGACTTGGGATTCAGATGTTGCATCCTGCAAGGTCTGAGCAGTTGGCCCAAATGTCTGTCAAACTGGAGTACTTCCATACAGTGGTGTATTGTTACTGCTAGGTGCTGTCAAATTGACTGCAACTCCTAGCGACCTGCACTATCTTCATGATCTCCTTCATGTTCAGACCCATTGGGTAGTCACTGTGTCAGTCCACCTCGTTGAAGATCTTTTTCTCTTTTACTCACCCTGTACTTTTCCCTAGCATGATGTCTCTCTCCAAGGATAGGCTTCTCCTGAAAACATGCCAGAAGTCAATCAGACAAAATCACACCATCCTTGCCTCTAAATCTTAGCTGTGCTCATGTGAAACCTGTACCTAGACCAGGAATCTGTTGTATGAAGAGCAGAGGGAACACCACATGGCTTAAAATGAAGAAGGGAGTGTGTCAAGGTTGTATTCTCTCTCCATATCTATTCAGTCTGTGTGCTGAGCAAATCTTTTAAGAAGTTGGACTCTGAAGAGGAGTGTGGCATCAGGATTGGAGGGGAATTTATCAGTTACTTTCATTATGCAGATGAAACAACCTTGCTTGCTGAAAGTGAGGAGGACTTGAAGCATTTGCTGCAGAAGCTCAAGGAATGCAGCCTTCAAAATGGATTTCATCTCAATGTCATGAAAACAAAGATTCTTACCACTGGACCAGTAAGCAACATAATGATGGATGGAGAAAATATTAAAACTGTTAATGACTTTATTTCACTTGGATCCACAATTAATACCCTTGGTGCCAGCAGTCAGAGACCTCTCCAAGTTATTGAGGCATAATGATGTCAGTTTGAGGACTAAGCTGTGTCTGATTCAGGTCATGGTCTTTCCCATCACTTGCTATACATTTGAGAGCTGGACAATGAATAGAAGTGACAGAAGAATTGACACCTTTGAGCTGTGGTGTGGGAGAAGAGCACTGAATATCCCATGGACTGCCAAAAGAATAAACAAATAAGTCTTGAGATGGTACAGCCAGAATGTTCTTTGGAGGCAAGGATGATGAGGCTTTGCCTCACATACCTTGGGCATGTTGCTAAGAGGGGCTATTCCTTGGAGAGGAACATGATGCTCAAAAGGGCAGAGGGTTGGCAAAGGAAAGAAAGACCCTCAACCAGGTGGGTTGACACGGTGAATGCTGCAGTGGGCTCTAGTGTGTCAGGAAGTATGACAATGGCACAGGAGAGGACAGGGTTCAGATCTGTTCATAGGGTTGCTATGAGTTGTACTTGACATAATGGCACCTAACAATAACAACATCCTTAGACATTGCCTAACTTTCAGATGCATAGGAAGCCATTGAAAAGACCATGGCTTAGATGAGGCTGTCTTAGTCTTTACACTGGTGTACTGTGTAGAACTTTGGAGGGCTCTTTGACAGCAGATTTCCTAATGTCACACATCATTTGATTTCTTGGCTGCTGCTGCCATGGGTCCGGATTGTGGATCCAAGTAAAATGAAATAATTAGTAATTTCAATCTTTTCTCCATCTGTCATGATGTTTACTATTTGTCTAGTGACAAAGATTATTGCATTTTTGATGGTGAGATGTAACCCATAAAGAAGGCAATATTGTTGTTTACCTTCATGTCAGAACTGACCCATAGCTGACCTCCAGCAGGTTTTCAGAAGAAATTTACTCACGTGAGAGGAGATTGCTCATCTTCCTCCCATGGAGCAGCTGGTGGATTTGTTTTGTTGGACAACTGCTTTTTGGTCTAGATATAAGTTTTGCATTAACACAATTAAGTGTTCTGGGATTCCTATTCTTATCAATGTTAGCCATAATTTGGCCAAGTGCCTATGCATAGTGAATATAATGCAAGTAAATATCTTCCAAATGTTCTCTACTTTCAACCA